GAGACCGCTCCTCCGTCCGCTAGACGGCTCCTCCGTCCGCTAGACCGCTCCTCCGTCGGCTGCTGCACTCCCAGTATAGCTGCAACAGGCTGCAGCCGGGAGCCAGGAGCTCCCTCTGGGTCTCCTCCCACACAGGTGCCGGGGCCCAAGCACCTGGGCCATCTTGCGGTGCTTTCCCAGGTGCACGAGCAGGGAGCTGGATTGGAGATGGAGCAGCCGGACTCCAGCCGCGCCCCACGGTACGGGTGCTGGTGTCGCAAACAGCGGCTTTAACCTCCTGTGCCACCACACTAGCGTCAGCATCAGTTTCAGTGACGCTGTTTTGTTCGCATTTCTGTTTTCCAGTGACAAACAACTAAAAGATAATAGTGGCAACACATACTATTTGGGAAATTAAAGAGAACTATTACAAGAAAAACAAATTCAAAAGTAGCCATTTCTCTCACTGAGTAAAATCCTTAGAACTTAGCATGTCGCCTGCTCTGTTCGTGCTGGTTTTCTGAATTCGTGGCAGGAACCCACACAGCTTATTAATTTTGGAAATATTAATAAGCAGATCAATTTCAGTGTTTTCTGTTCCAGAATAAGATTTCATGTGGTTAGATGACATGCTAGGGGCTGTCCTTGTGGTGCAGAGAGCTTCAAATAAATCTTTATAAAAAGATGACTTACTAGGCTGGCACCACGGCTCACTTGGCTAGTCCTCCGCCTGCAGCGCTGGCACCCCGGGTTCTAGTCTCAGTTGCGGCGCCAGATTCTGTCCTGGTTGCTCCTCTTCTAGTCCAGCTCTCTGCTGTGGCCCAGGAAGGCAGTGGAGGATGGCCCAAGTCCTTGGGCCCTGCACCCGCATGGGAGACCAGGAGGAAGCACCTGGCTCCTGGCTTCGGATCAGCGCTGCACGCCGGCTGTAGCGGCCGTTTGGGTGATGAACTAACAGAAGGAAGACCTTTCTCTCTGTCTCTCTCTCTCTCACTGTCTAACTCTGCCTGTAAAAAAAAAAAAAAAAAAAGATGACTTACTAAATATCCCATCTAATATATGCGCCTAACAAATTAGATTCCGACTGTGCTACTTTTGGAAATTGACTAAGCCCTAATAACATTTTTCTAGAGAAAATAATAGTTAAGCCCAAGGAAGAGGTTTTTGAAAAGCAGTAAGCGGTGATAAGATAAATGACTGTTAACATGTAAAGTACAGGGCGAAGGGCATCTAAATTACAGGACACTGGATTCAAATCAGAGCACAATAGAGATTCCAGTAGCTCTAAACTTGGTAAAAGTTTAACATACAATGGATGAGGGTAACAACATGATAAGAAAAGAATTATGTGTAATGGATGATTTTGAGAAAGTTGTGACACCTGTAACATCATTTGCCATAATAACTTCAGGTGTTTTAAAGAATTAATGTTGGGGCGGCGCCGCGGCTCACTAAGCTAATCCTCCACCTTGTGGCGCCAGCACACTGGGTTCTAGTCCCGGTCGGGGCACTGGATTCTGTCCCGGTTGCCCCTCTTCCAGGCCAGCTCTCTGCTGTGGCCAGGGAGTGCAGTGGAGGATGGCCCAAGTCCTTGGGCCCTGCACCCCATGGAAGACCAGGATAAGTACCTGGCTCCTGCCTTCGGATCAGCGCAGTGCGCCGGCCGCAGCGCGCCGGCCACAGCGCGCCGGCCACGGCAGTCATTGGAGGGTGAACCAACAGCAAAGGAAGACCTTTCTCTCTGTCTCTCTCTCTCACTGTCCACTCTGCCTGTCAAAATAAATAAAAAGAATTAATGTTGGAAAGATTTCTTTCAGGAGGCAGCACTGTGGCACAGCAGAACCAAGCCAGGGCCATCAGAACTGGCCTCCTGTATGTGCGCTGGCTTGAATCCCGGCTGCCCTACTTCTGATCCAGCTTCCTGCTAATGCCCTGGGAATGCAGCAAAGGATGGCTCAAGTGCTTGGGCCCCTGCACCCACGTGGGGGACTTGGAAGAAGCTCCTGGCTTCTGACTTTGGTCTGGGCCAGCCCTAGCTGTTTCGGACATTTGAGGAGTGAACCAGAAGACGGAAGATCTCTCTCTCTATATATATCTCCCTTTCTCTCTCTGTACCTCTGACTTTGAAATAAATAATTTTTTTAAAAGAAGAGATCTCTTTTAAAAATGAAGCAAAGTGGTATATTACAGTTATCCAACTGTGGTGCGTGACAATTTTGTAAGTGTTAAAGCAGTATGTTAAATTATGGGCCATATTGGCCGATTCGAGTCCTGGCTGCTCCACTTCTGATCCAGCTCTTTGCTATGGCCTGGGAAAACAGTTGAAGATGGCCCAAGTGCTTGAGCCCCTGCACCCACATGGTGGGAGCACCCAGAGGAGACTCCTGGCTCCTGGCTTCGGATCTGTGCATCTCTGGCCTTTGCAGCCGTCTGGGAAGTAAACCAGCAGATGGAAGAACTTTCTCTGTCTCTCTGCCTCTCTATAACCTGCCTTTCAAATAAACAAATAGATCTTAAAAATTATATATAAAGATTATAATATAATTACACTATAATTTATAATATCATAAATTAAATTATAAATATTATAATTTATAATATAATTATATATTATAATATGTTATATATAAAGATTATATACACTATAATTATATTATATATTATAATATGTTATATATAAGTATTATATGTACTATAATTATATATTATAATATTGTATTTATAATTTATAATATTTGATTACCTACCTTCATACCTATAATATATACTATACAATTTGTAATTATATATAATCTTTATATATATATAAAGAGCAGTTACAAATCTGCAGGTCAGTACCCACTTTCCACCACATAAACAGTTCAGGACATGAACAAATAGTGTAAATAAAAGGTATTTCATTAAGCTAACAGTTGGGCATTTTCAGTCTTGCTAATAATAAAAGTGAGAATTAATAAGCATGGAAGTGTAGTGGGGCTGCCACTGTGGTGTAGTGGGTCAGGCGGCTGCCTGGGGTGCTGGCATCCCATGTGAGTGCTGGTTCCAGTCTCTGCTGCAAAACTTCCTATCCAGTTCCCTGCGAATGTGCCTGGGAGAGCAGTGGAAGATGGCAATCTATTTGCTCGTGTGGGAGACCCAGACAAGGCTCCTGGCTCCTGGCTTTGGACTGGCCCAGCTCCAGCTATTGCAGCCATTTGGGGAGTGAGCAGTTTATGGGTGATCTGCCTCTCGCTCTGTCTTTCCATCTCTCTCTCTAACTCTGCCATTCAAACAAATAAATCTTTTATATGGGTGTGTATACAGTCCACTTCATACCTATTGAAATAGCACAGTGACAGCACTCACTTTGCTTGGGGAAATCGTACACCCCCGATTGCTGCTGTGTTTTATGGGAGCAGAAGTTCAAAGCCAAACCCAGCCTGTCAAGGTGTCCTTTGAGGCATTGCCCCCGGAAGAATGAATGTCGGGAAGATCCTGTAAGGCAGGAACGGTTACCTACCCAATGATCATTGTAGCCACACTTCTGTTCTTCCGTAGGCAAAGTTTGGCCATTACCTGATTACCTGACACCTTGGTAATGGTTACGCGAACCAGAAAATGTTAGCATGCATCATGTGGATAGCTGTTGAAGCCACAAGTCTGAGGACTCTGACAGTGCCGTGTGGCCGCGGGCCGAGTGCTGGGGGACCATGGCACCTGCGACGTGCTTGTCTAGTGAGGGCCCAGAGATGTGGATCAGCGCCTCGCAGACAGTACGACTCTTTCAAGAGTCATTGCTTTAGGCCAGCGCCGCGGCTCAGTAGGCTAATCTTTCGCCTTGCGGCGCCGGCACACTAGGTTCTAGTCCCAGTCAGGGCACCGGATTCTGTCCTGGTTGCCCTTCTTCCAGGCCAGCTCTCTGCTGTGGCCCAGGAGTGCAGTGGAGGATGGCCCAAGTGCTTGGGCCCTGCACCCCATGGGAGACCAGGAGAAGCACCTGGCTCCTGCCTTCGGATCAGCGCAGTGCGCTGGCTGCACCGTGCCGGCCACGGCGGCCATTGGAGGGTGAACCAATGGCAAAGGAAGACCTTTCTCTCTGTCTCTCTCTCTCACTATCCACTCTGCCTGTCAAAAATAAAAAATAAAAAAGAGTCATTGCTTTATTTGAAAGGCAGAGTGACAGAGAAAGAGGGAGAGACACACAGAGAGATCTTCCATCTGCTGCTTTGTCCCCCAAATGGTCACAATGGCTGGGGCTGGGCCAGGGCTGGGCCAGGCCTAAGCCAGGAGCCAGGAACTCCATCGGGGTCTCCCACGAGGGTGCAGGGGCCCAAGCACTTGGGCCATCCTCTGCTGCCTTCCCAGGCGCATTAGCAGGGAGCTGGATCAGAAGTGGAGCAGCCGGGTGTGGAACTGGCGCTGTGATACATGGGGGTCGGCATTGCAGGCGGGGCTGTACCTGCTGTGCCACAGCACAGCCCCGCTCCTGCACTGTTGCTCAGTGGGAAGTCATTCTAATAGATTGGTTTCTATTTCTTTGCCAGTTTTTTCCTCTTCTCGCCTCTGAGGTATAACACAAATGATAACTTCATGGGAAGATACAGTTTGAAGAAGTACTATAATCATTTAAAGACACACACACATGTATAACTTTTAAAATCATTTATATTATTTGAAAGGCAGAGAGAAACAGACAGAGGGAACCAGACCTCCCCTCTGCCGGTTCCCTCCACAGATGCTTGCAACAGCAGGGACTGGGCAAGACCAGAGGCAGGAACCGGAAACCGGTGCAGGCCTCCCACGTGAGTGGCAGGGACCCAGCCGTCTGGGCCTGCGGCACTGCCGCGCAGGAGCTGCGCTGGCGCCAGGCGCTGCGTCCTTGTAGCGTCTTAACCGCTAGGTCCACCTGCCCCTCCAGCAGGTCCCGCTGCCTGCTCACCAGGCTGTGGCTCCGAGCTTTGCTTCCCGGAAATGTGCAGACTGATTTCTTGTGCTTTGCTCTGGTGACGTGGAGACACTGAGAATGTCCTGTTTTCTTCCAGGAATTTATGCAAGTATTCGCACGAAGTCCTCTCCGAAGAGAACTTCCAGGTCCTGAAAAGCCACGGTCTCTCTGGACTCAACCAAGAGGAGCTGGCGGTGCTGCTCATCCAGAGCGACCCCTTCTTCCTGCCCGAGGTGAGTCGGGATCCCTCGCTGGCCGTCTGTGTCTGCGGACGGACGCGCTGGGGGCGGAGCAGGAGGAACCGGGCGTCGGAACCAGGCCTCTGCAGGCGGCCGTCAGGCTGTTGCTGACCCGAGAGATCCCAGCAGTTTCTCTCCTGTGGGAGGGTTTCCAAGACTTTTAGTGCGGAACGCCGCTGCTAAGCTGCCAAGGAGCCCCCTGAGAGCGACAGGAGCTGACGGTGCACTCGGAGTAGACAGATTGGTGTTGTAACCAGGGGGGCTTCCCGGAAGAGGTGGGTTTTGACTGAAGTTGGGGAGATGACAGGAAAGATTAGGGTACAGGCTGGGAGGTTGTAGCCGAGGCGTTTCCCCATCCTCCCCCAAAATACGGCGATGCGGACACAGTGTATGGGTTCGTCTTTCACCAGCCTGCAAGCTGGACCACAGGCCACACCTGGCCTGCCACTGGATCCGCCTGCAGCCCTGCCTGTGTGTCCCCAGCTGCCCAGGGCAGCTTCCCTCCGGAGGGCGAGCCGAGTCACCACAGCGGGGACCGGGTGCTCTAAAGCCTGCACCTTCTTGGGGAAAGTTTGCCAAGTCACCTTGCCGTCTCCTCACAGGGACGAGGGTCTGGCCCTGGACCCAACGCGACAGCAAGGGACTCAGAGTGTGGCTTCCAGCTCCAGGCTCTTCTCTCTCTTTTTCTTTTTAACGACTTACTTACTTATTTGAAAGTCAGAGTTACACAGAGAGAGAAGGAGAGGCTGAGAGAGAGAGAGAGAGAGAGAGAGAGGGAGGGAGGGAGGGAGAGAGAGGTCTTCCATCTGTTGGTTCACTCCCCAAATGGCTGTAACAGTTGGAGCTGTGCCCATCCAAAGCCAAGCGCCAGGAACTTCTTCTGGATCCCCCATGTGGGCGCAGGGGCCCAACGACTCGGGCCATCTTCTACTGCTTTCCTAGGCCACAGCAGAGAGCTGGATCGGAAGTGGAGCAGCTGGGACTCGAACCGGTGCCCATGTAGGAGAGTGGCACTGCAGGTGGCGGCTTTACCCGCTGCGCCACAGTGCTGGCTGCCTCTTCTCATTGTTACAGTTCTCTTGGTGGCGGGAGCATAGAGAGGAAGTGGAAGGCAAGCAGTGTCCTTTTTAAAAGATGTGACATGTGCTTTGGGCACAGCACATCTGTGCACGTCGTGGGCCATAGCTCTCAACGTGCGCACAGTCGGGCGGAAGACAGCCTGGAAGATGTAGCTTCTGGCTGAGTCACCATCTGTCTGCCTGAAATCCAACAGCTGCTGTCAGTAGAAGGAAGATGGGACAGCCGGGCACAGATGGGACAGTCTCAGCCACAAGAAGTCCAGCCGTGTGGCTCGGAGGATGCTGGTTAAGGCTGGCGTCGAGAAAGAGAAGCCCAGGCGCGAGTTCGGCCAGGCGGGGTGGGCGGAGGGAGGCAAGCTGGCGTTGAGACGCACCTCGAGACGCACAGCATGGCTAGCGGGGACCTGGGAGGGTCGACTCGTCTGACACTGAGCTCCATGTTTCCCTGAGCGGTGGTTTTGAGTTGGCCACTGAGCCCGGGAGAGAGAGGAACGTGCAGATTCCCGGGGGGCCACATCCTGTTTCCTCCCCCCACCCGGTGCTTGCCTGCCCCAGGCCCTGCTGACAAGCAGAGCCACCTGTGAGGGCATGGCAGAGTGACGATGAGTGTCGGCCTGGGGCCCACCCTTCGCCTGAGGAAGCCAGTCTGGGGCCGGTCTCTGCTCCCTTCTCCCAAGCCCCCATGTCCCCGTCCGGGCCCTGCAGGGCCGGCGGGCGGCAGTTCTGTTGGGAGAAGCTGGCGACGAGGTGCTACTGCTGAAGGGTCCCAGGGGGGCTGTGGACTCGAGGGCCCTGTTCCGCTGACGGGAGCTCAGGCCCCAGGGTCATGGCCAGGAACTGCCTTTGGCCACCTGTCGCGGTTACCAGGCCCTGTGTGCAGTACTGGTGGCCGTGGTGGACAAGATGTACTCCCTGGGGCCGGCGCTGTGGCACAGCGGGTTAAAGCCCAGCCTGCAGTGCCAGCATCCCGTGTGAGTGCCGGTTCAAGCCCCAGCTGCTCCACTTCCAATCCAGCTCCCTCCTAGTGTGCCTGAGAGAGCAGTGGAGGATGGCACAGGTCCTCTGGCCCCTGCATCTGCGTGGGAGACCCGGAGGAAGCTCCTGGCTGCTGGCTTCAGATCGGCTCAGTTCCACTGTCACGGCCATTTGGGGAGTGAACCAGCAGATGGAAGACTCTGTCTCTGTCTCTACTTCTCTCTGTAACTCTTTCAAGTAAATAAAACAAAACCTTAAAAAAAATGTACTCCCTGTTCCTTGAAAGAGTCACTTTTCCCCACTTTGCCTTGCCCTGTGAGAGCGTGGAAGCATTAGGCACACGTGTCTCCTGGCGCATAGGCCGGTACAAATAAAATACGCTCATTGGGAAGGAGTGGTTTCGTTTGTTCCGGCCTGATCAGCGCAGGACAGTGTGTCTGCAGCGCCAGCATGGTGACAGGAAGGTTCACCAGCGCGGCTTGGAGAGGCTGTGGTTGTCCTGCTTTGCCGAGCCTCCGGGATCCTGGCCCTCAGACTGCATCAGAATCATCTGGCAGGTTGCCAGCACACAGATTTCGGTGGTCTGGCACGGTGGACGCGGGAAGGGTCTCAGCATTTGCATTTTGAACACGTTTCCGGGCTGCCTGGTCCAGGGACCACACTTTGGGAACGATAGTCTAGGGTCGAGAGTGCATAACAGACACTGTGGCAATTATGTCAGTTACGTGGGAATCTGTGTCTTTGCCTTCTAGACAAATCCTGGGGCAGGTATTGATCTGGCTTGCTCAGGGTCTATTGCAACAACTTACAAATACAACCTTTGGCACATTTGAAATGCAGGTGTGTGTGTGTGTGTGTGGTGTGTGTGATCACAGTGGCTTCCCCCTTCAGTAGTTCAGACATTGCCTCAACACTGCATCCCGGAGGCGCAGTCACAGGACTGTCGCTCCCCGTCTTCGTGGAGGAACGACACAGGACCCTGCGCTGTTCTTTCGTCTGCTCGGCCCTCCCCGGGTTTGCTGCTGGTTCTTCCCGGGTTGGCTACTATCCCTTCCACCTCCGTGGAAGGGCAGTTCCCCCTGGCCGCATTCCCCACTTCCGCAGGGGAGCGGCACACCGCCGGCCGGGTCTCTCGGGGGCTGCACGGGTTCCCTTAGATGTTCCCCATAGATGTTCCTGGTGCATGCCGTCTCTCTCCTCCTTTATAGTCCTCCTCCGCCAATCCCAACTCGGCTGAGTACGCTGCTCTCCAATCAGGAGCAAGTCCTACAGTTAATTGGTTGAACTGGAGGCAGCTGTGCGGAAGCTGTTTACTTCTCTCCCAGCGCCATATTGTGGGAGAGCAGATGCATAGAATAAGTCCTAATTCGAGTAACTTAGTCTAGTCCGGATTGCTCCCCACAGATCCCCCTTTCTTTTTATTTTTTAGCGTTGATACGCGCCTGTCTTCGGTGTCCCGCGGCACACACTCTGCTCTACTTGCTAGAGTTGCCACAGGCTCTTACAAGTCCTATCAATCAGGAAAACCGAATCCGGGTCCTCTCTTCGCCATTGTGAGGAGGTTTTTAGGCGCTGATGCATGCCTGTGTTCGGTGCCCTGCAGCGCATGCTCTGCTCTGCCCGCAGGGGCTTACAAAACCTATCAGGCAAACCGAATCCAAGCCTTCTCATTGCCTTATTGTGGGGGAGACTTATTAGTGTTGGTTCGTGCCTATCTTCGGTGACCTGCAGCTCATACTCTGGTCGAGCTTTGCTGGCGCTTACCGCCTTAAATCAGGCAGACCGAATCCAAGCCTCCTAATTGTTGCATTGTGGGGAAGCTTTACTGATGTTAATTCGTGCCTGTCTTCGGTGACCTGCGGCTAGCCGCCCAGGTGCTCATCGCCTCACTAATCGGGCAGACCGAATCCAAGCCTTCTAATTGGCATGTTGAGGGGAGGCCTTATTTTTCTCTATTTCTCTATCTCCGGGCATTCCTATTTCTCCCATTTTACTTCTATCTTCCAGCATTCCTATTTTTCTTTTACTTCACTTCCAAACTTCTGTTTCTCTTATCCCTGCGGCTTTCCGGCACCTCGCCCCGCCGGCAGCTTCACGGCTCCGCGCAGCTTCCCGGCGCCTCGCCCCGCCGGCGGGCTCCGCCCCGAAGCTGCTTCACGGCTCTGTGCGGCTTCCCGGCGCCTCGCCCCGCCGGCAGGTTCCCGGCTCTGCGCGCACGCTCCGCGGTCTCCACGCACTTCGCGCCCGCACCACGGCCTCGCGCCAGCCCCGGCGTTCCCCATCTATTCACGCCCCGTGCTCTCTCTGCACGCGGCGGCTTCCGCGAATGTTTCCGCCACCACCGGCATTCAGTCCAAGTTCCCCGGACTAACCTGGCGAATTCCAACCTGGCGGCCCACGTCTCTGCCTCTGGTTCCAGATCTTCGCCTCTTGCTCCCCAGGGTGACTTGAAGAATTCCAAGGTGGCTTATATCTCCGCCTCGGCCTGCACTCGCGGCTTCATCCTCCCTAACATTTTTCTCTACCCGGTATTTTTCCCTAAGTTTTCTTCCAACAATATTTTCTCCTGGCTTCTCCCCACAGTCCGTATCCGAGTCCAAGCCTCCTCCAGGTTTCACTTTCGCTTTCAATCTCCTAGCTTCCCCGCCATAGTCCGCATCCGAGTCTATGAAAGCTTTCACTTTCACTTTCAATCCTAACTTCTTTCCCACAGTCCATATCCAAGTCTATGCCTAGGCTTTCAATAGCTTCTTCCGGCACCTAGGCTCTTTGCTAGTCTCTCTCTCCGGTATTTTCCCATTTCTTCTCGTTTCTTCCCTCCTAAGTTTCATATCCGTCCTAGGTTTCCTATCCGTCCTAGGTTTTCTATCCAAGTCAGGTTTCCTATCCGAGTCACGGCACCATTATGTCGCTCCCCCTCTTCGTGGAGGAACGACACCAAGCCCTGCCTAGGCTTCATATCCGAGTCACGGCACCATTATGTCGCTCCCCGTCTTCGTGGAGGAACGACACTAAACCCTGCCTAGGCTTCATATCCGAGTCACGGCACCATTATGTCGCTCCCCCTCTTCGTGGAGGAACGACACTAAACCCTGCGCTGTTCTTTCGTCTGCTCGGCCCTCCCCGGGTTTGCTGCTGGTTCTTCCCGGGTTGGCTACTATCCCTTCCACCTCCGTGGAAGGGCAGTTCCCCCTGGCCGCATTCCCCACTTCCGCAGGGGAGCGGCACACCGCCGGCCGGGTCTCTCGGGGGCTGCACGGGTTCCCTTAGATGTTCCCCATAGATGTTCCTGGTGCATGCCGTCTCTCTCCTCCTTTATAGTCCTCCTCCGCCAATCCCAACTCGGCTGAGTACGCTGCTCTCCAATCAGGAGCAAGTCCTACAGTTAATTGGTTGAACTGGAGGCAGCTGTGCGGAAGCTGTTTACTTCTCTCCCAGCGCCATATTGTGGGAGAGCAGATGCATAGAATAAGTCCTAATTCGAGTAACTTAGTCTAGTCCGGATTGCTCCCCACACAGGACGTGCTATTTAGTCTGCTGAACGCCTCGGTTTAGGTAGAGAGAAAAGTATCTCCTGCTAGGGCAGAGGAAGTGGAGGCCGGGAGCAGGTCACCGGGGCCGCTGGGGTCACACAGCTGCCGGGGAGGCCCCAGGCTTTGGAGCCAGCGCCTCCAGTGCTGTCGCCTGGCACTGCTCCCGCCCGCTGTGGCTCCGTGGCTGACCTGCAGAGGGCTTTCACGTGCTGCCAGCAGAGACCCAGCCCTGGGTCTAACCGTTGCAGGTGAGGCGCTTTCAAGGCTACGCGACCTCCAAAGACTGCAGGGCTCACTTGGCCTCCTGTTTGCAGCTGGCCAGCTGCCGCCCGGGGCTGTGGGAGGTACCTGTGTTGTTCCCGAGAGTCCCTGCTGCCTGGTGTCCTCACTGGTGGTCTCTCTTTTCTGTAGATTTGCAAGACTTACAAAGGAGAGGGGCGCAAGCAGATCTGCAGTCACCAGCCCCTGTGTGAAAGGCTGCACATCTGTGAGCACTTCACCCGCGGGGAATGTCGCTACCTCAACTGCCTCCGGTCCCACAACCTGATGGACAGAAAGGTGCTGGCGGCCATGAGAGAGCACGGGCTGAGCCCCGACGTGGTGCAGAACATCCAGGACATCTGCAACAGCAAGCACGCCAAGAACAACGCCGCAGGCACCAGAGGTACGCGCCTCCTCGCGGCTCCCTCCTCTAGAGGTACAGGCTTCCTCTCTCGGCACCCTCCTCTAGAGGTACGCGCCTCCTCTCGGCTCCCTCCTCTGTGCAGGGAGACAGAGGTGCGCGCTTCCTCTCAGCACCCTCCTCCGTGCAGGGAGACAGAGGTACGCGCTTCCTCTCAGCACCCTCCTCTGTGCAGGGAGACAGAGGTACGCGCCTCCTCTCTCAGCACCCTCTCTGTGCAGGGAGACAGAGGTGCGCGCTTCTTCTCAGCACCCTCCTCCGTGCAGGGAGACAGAGGTACGCGCTTCCTCTCAGCACCCTCTCTGTGCAGGGAGACAGAGGTACACGCCTCCTCTCAGCACCCTCTCTGTGCAGGGAGACAGAGGTACGCGCCTCCTCTCTCGGCACCCTCTCTGTGCAGGGAGACAGAGGTACGCGCTTCCTCTCTCGGCACCCTCTCTGTGCAGGGAGACAGAGGTACGTGCCTCCTCTCTCGGCACCCTCTCTGTGCAGGGAGAGACACCCGCCGCAGTCACCCGTCCTGCACAGAGCCTCCTTCACTTGCCCTTCTGGAATTTGTCTGTGTGCACAACCACATGTAAAGTACACGTGAGACTTTGTCATTCTAGAACTTGTCTGTGTGCACATACCACTACATGCAAAGTACATGTGAAAGTTTGTAATTTTATAACTTTTCTGTGTACACACATTGCACGCAAAGTACATGTGAGACTTTGTACTTCTAGAACTTGTCTGTGTGCACATACTACTACATGCAAAGTACATGTGTGTGTTTTTTTAAAAGATTTTCATTTATTTATTTGAATGTCAGGGTTACAGAGAGAGAAGGAGATGCAGAGAGAGAGAGAGAGGTCTTCCATCCACTGGTTCACTCCCCAATTGGCTGCAACGGCCAGAGCTGCGCCAATCTGAAGCCAGGAGCCAGGAGTTTCTTCCAGGTCTCCCACGTGGGTGCAGGGGCCCAAGGACTTGGGTCACTGTCCACTGCTTTCCCAGGCCACAGCAGAGAGCTGGGTCAGCAGTGGAGCAGCCGGGACTTGAACTGGTGCCCATATGGGATGCCGGCGCTGCAGGCCAGGGCATGGACGCCACAGCGTCAGCCCCAGTACATGTGTGATCTTGTAATTCAGTTTTTGTGCTTGCCTCGTTTCTCCCAGATTAAGAATTGCTCATCATTCCTTGAAAAGCTGATAAAACTTTTTTTAAAAGGAAAGAAACTTGAAAGTTAGATTCAACTGTTAAAATTTATCCTGATTGCTTTACCTCTTTCCCTATAGACTTAAATTTCAGATACTCATCGACACATAAAACATTTTTTGTGGTTAAGCCGTTTAAAATGTTTAAAACTTTTTCGAAAAATTTTGTTTGGAAAACAGAGGGAGACAGAGAGAGGGAAATACCTTCCTGCTGGTTCACCGTCCAAACGCTGCAATAGCCGGGGTCGGTCAGGCCAAGGCCAGGAGCCTGGTGCCCAGTCTGAGTCTCCCACGGGAGTGGCAGGGACTCAGGTACTGGGGCCATCCCAGTGTGCACGCTAGCAGGAAGCTGCACGGGAGAGTGAGGCCAGGACTTGCAACCACGTGTTCCCAGGAGGCGACCCATGTGACATCCTTACGGCTGCGCCAGACCTTGGTGGTTAACACACTCATGAAAGTTCGCACCGCATTTATTCCCATGCATCTCCTCAGGACAGGCCATTCTACACAGCCACAGTAGAAGTCATACAGAAAGTTAGAAATGCAAAACTGGACACAGCTTAACTCACGGTCTTCATTGCTAGTTCTTTTTACATTTGTCTACTTATTTGAAAGGCAGAGTTACAGAGAGGCAGAGGCAGACCGAGAGAGAGGTCTTCCAGCCACTGGTTCACTTTGCCAGGGGCCACAATGGCTGGAGCTGGGCCAGGAACTTTCCCAGGTCTCCCAGTGCTGCCCCCTCTTTGCTATTTCTTTAAACACTGTCTTGTTTTATTTTAAATGTTTTATTTATTTATTTGAAATGTAGAATTATAGACAGAAAGAAAGGTCTTCCATTTGCTGGTTCACTCCCCAAATGGCTGCAATGGCCAGAGCTGGGCCAATCAGAAGCCAGGAGCCGGGAGCTTCTTCCAGGTCTCCCACGTGGGTGCAGGGGCCCAAGGACTGGGGCCATCTTCCACTGCTGTCCCAGGCCACAGCAGAGAGCTGGCTCGGAAGCAAAGCAGCCAGGTCTTGAACCGGTGCCCATATGGGATGCTGGCACGGCAGGCAGAGGCTCAGCCTACTTCGCCACAGCACCAGTGTTGGTCATTACTTTTTTTTTTTTTTAAGAGAGAGTTTTATTTATTTATTTGAGAGGCAGAGTTAGAGAGACAGAGAGAGAGGTCTTCCATCCGCTGGTTCAGACGCAAGGTATCACAGCCTGGGCAAAACCTGGAGGCATTTCGGAGCTTCCTCTGATTGCCCTAGTGCATCTGCCCACAGCCCCAGTGAAGGCTGATTCAGAACCAGGGCCTAGTGGGCGGCCCCCGCCAGAGGCCTGGGCCGCGGGGCCGCCATCTGATTCCCAGGAGAGAACAGCTCCGACTCTCGCCCTGGGACAGGAGTGCAACGGCAGCAAAGCTGGAACGCCAAGAGGAGGCGCTCACTCGGCTTCACTCTCATTTTCCTTTGGTTTTCTTTTTCTAGCTCCTCCCCCGCATCGCAGACCGGCCACCCCTCGAACGGCCGCCCCTCGAGACAGAAGCACAAGTAAAGACCGACCCTTTCATGGCAGCAGAGAATTCCTCTCGTCTGCTTTGGCTTCTCCGAGGTCCTGCACATCCAGTCCAGATGGCCCGGGCCTCGGGCCTTCCCCGGAGGCTGCGCCGGTAGACAAGCTCACGCACAGGTTCTCAGGCCTGGGCACTGGCGCTGGCCCTCTGCCTTCCTCGGGCTCGGCCACGCCCACTGAGCCCAGAGGACCGATGAAGGTGGGAGGAAGCCAGCGGCTCCCCGAGAACGGCTGTGCCGCCGGCGCCCCGCGCAGGCCTCCAAGCAGCACGGACTCCGGCCGGAAGAGCTCCTCCGTCCAGGAAAGCACCAGGAAAGGGAGTGATTCTGCACCAACCTCTGAAGCTGGAGCCACAGCGAGTGCGTGCGTCTCGGACCCCCAGGGTGCCGGGGCCGGAAGTGGGGCCGCAGGCTCCCCGCAGGCCTCTCTCTCTAACAATGCTCACGGAGGGGCCGCATATCCGACTGACGGAGCCGGAACCGGTGGGCCATTTGGGGATCCCCTAGCCCTAGGAACAAGCCAAAGAACGGGTGGCGATGACCCCGGAGTGGCGTCGCTGACTGGTAAATACAGAGGAAGCACATTTCGGGCTAATACACCTGTCCCCCACCCCCCAGATGGGTTCAGGCGCACTAAGGATGAAACTACTGATGTAGATAAAGCTGCTGCCCCTGATTGGGGCCTAAACTTGGCAGTGAGTGGGGAAAAAGATGAGACAGGTGCCAGGAGTCAGAGTCTGAGAAGCCGGCACCTGGCCCCGAGTGGGGGATCCACTGCACCTGCCCAAAGTCGGCACTGTGCCTCTGTCACCTCCTCCGCCTTCTTCAGGCCACAGAACTTCAGCCACTGGGACCTGTGATCAGAGCTCTGTCCACGACTCTGAGACTCGCCAGTGAGCTCACAAGCAGGACCCCAGTGAAGGCACCCCGCGTCTTGATTCTGCAGCAGAGCGACTGTGCCCGCCGGGGTCGCCTTGTTCAAGGACTCGAGTTAGAGGGGCTTGTTTAAGGAGTGGCCTCGGGGAGGAGAGCGGGTATGAAGGCTGGGAAGGACCGGCCGGCAGGCTGCCACGTGTGCTGAGGTTAGGAGTGGGTCCAAGAACGCACACGGCCGGTGTGACCCTCGAGCCCCCGTCTGACTTCACGGACGGGCGGGCTGCCTGGGCTCTCCCGAGCGACACACAGGTCCCAGCACCCCTCCAGAACACGGCCCCGTTTCAGTCTTTCCTGTGGGGGGCTGAGGCTGGGTTCTTGATTTCTGTTTTAAACATGAGTATCAGTGAGCTGCCTGTCTTGTGTTACAGACTCGGTGTCTGCTGTCCCGAGTGCCACATCTCCCAGGCTGAACGACCACGGCTCAGAGGAGATCTGTCTCGCCCACCTGTACGGCGGTTGTCAGCGGGACGGTGCGTGACCACAGGGCGCCCGTAGCTCTCCACTCTGGCCGCTGTGAGCGGTGCCCTGGACACGAGGGTGCACTGTGTCCTCTGGACCCTGCTCGCTCTCCTGGCTGGGTCCTGTGGTTCTGTGGTGACTCAGGGTTCGTGATTTGAGGAATCGCTTCCCACAGTGACTGTGCCATCGTTTGTCCCCACCAGCAACGCACCAGGGTTCAGGATTCTGCACGTGGCTTTTGTGGCATCTAAACCCTGCTCTTTTTGTTTTGATGTCACCACGCGGGGTGTTGGGGGGAGTATTTGCTGCAGAAGTTAGGACGTGGTTTGGGGCACCCGTATCCCCTATCAGAGTGCCTGGGTTCAGGTCCTGGTGCCACTGCTGATTCCAGCTTCCTGCTGGTGCATGCCCTGGAAGCCAGCAGGTGATGGCCCAAGAACCTGGGCCCCTGCCACTCGTGGGAGACCTGGATTGGATTCTTGCCTTCCTGCCTGGTCCAGCTCTGGCTGTTGTGGGCATTTGGGGATGGCGCTCTCTGTGTGTCTATCAGTTCGTCTGACTGCCCCTCAAATAAGTAAATAACATTTTTAAAAAGTCACATGTTTTTGAAACTTGCAAAATGCTTTAAGCATAACAGTGGCAACTTGAACAACCTCTATTTGCTGTGTTGCTGTACTGTGGACTTAAAACATTCACTGTCCATTCAGCAAGTGTTCACCCAATGGCCTTCTGCATGTCCAGCACAAGCCAGTTTTGCATGGGGGATATAAGCTAAACAGTGAGGTAACCTTGTGTTCTCAAAAGATCTACAACTGAGAAAACTGTATAAAATAAGTAGGTATAGAAATAACCAAGCCCAAACTGGGTTTTGGGTCCTGGCTGTTGGAATACCAAAAGGCACGTCATATCAGAGTGGGGTGAGATGGGTTGAGGGGATCATCCTGGAAGGGATGAAGTGGGCCAGGTCTTCAGGAAGTAAGGCAGGTGCCTGTGCTGGACAGACGGCGTTTTGCCCTGATCTGCACAAGGGTGTTTCGGAAAGTTGCTGGGAAATGGAAGCAGTCGTAGTGTGCGTCCGTATCCTGCGAGCGTCTTCCGTACGTTACGGTAGCTGGGAGCTCGCGGACGGTGACTGCAAACTTCCGGTTGAATGAAATGAGATGGAAACGTTCATGTGAGTAGGAGGACGTGGGTGTCAGGGAGCTGTTTCCTGACGAGTGCTCGTGGGGAGTAAAGGAGCCCGGTGTGTGAACATGGGCAGTGCAGCAGGAGCCAGCGTGAGCAAGGGGCTGTGGGGGAGCCTGGCAGGGCGGGAGAGGCAGGCCTCGCTGGGGCGGTCAGCAGGGAGCCGGCGTGGATTGTTCGGACCTTGGCTGAACAGGCCTTCCCGCTACCTCTCTGTCCCCGTAGGCAGCTGCAACCGGGTCCACTTCCACCTGCCTTACCGGTGGCAGGTGTTGATTCTAAACAACTGGGTGGACTTCCAGGACATGGAGAAGATCGAGGAGGCCTATTGCGACCCCAAAAACCAGATGTAAGTTGGTGGCTGTGCTCTGGCTTGTGAGATCCACGACATCATCAAAGGAAAACACAGTGCTAGGTACTGGACAAAAAGGAAACACGCGTGGCCTTTGGGATTCACTCAGGTTTGAGATGACTCTTAGTCCAAGGGGCAGATGCCTGCTGAGGTAGATCATTAATGAAAAAGCAATCCAAGCTGGGTTGGTTTGAAGTTGTAGCAAGCCTGGCTAATACTGGGGTGCTGGAAGCACTTGTAGCTCAGTGAAGAGACAGTGACAACGTGCTCCGTGGAGCTGCTCTCTCTCATCCTGTCCCGCAGAAACAGCACACGGCGGAGGTTGTATTACGGCCGCGGCAGCTCAGCTGGGCCATCAGAAGCTCTGATTCAGGGTAAACGGACTCTGGCTTAGCGTCGTGGTTTTAGCCCATGTTCTGGGCGGCTGCACACGCTAGCCCTTCGCACCTTCCATGCTGGAGGTATCCAGGGGCTGTCCCACAGCTCTGCTTCTGTCGGAGCTGGCACGGGTGACGCAGCCCGGCCTGACGACGGCAGTCTGCGGGACATCTTTCAGCATAGGCAACTGTGGTCAGTTCTTGGCGACGGTTCTCTGTTGCTGCGTGCTGCCACTAGAGGGTGACATCAGCTGGTTTCTTGTTTGCAGAAAGCTGCGTTGTAAGTTAGCCCTCGGCACTGCTGAGGTTTGGGGCCCGATACTTGTTGTGAGGCCTGTTAGCAGTGTCGCTGGCCTCTGTCCCAGATTCCAGTAAGCACTGCCCCTTCCCTTCGCCTCCAGCTGTGAGATGCCGGCTTCGGCAGTGTGCTGCCACATGTACCCGGGGAGGCAGTTCTGCACCTTGTACACTCAGAATCAAGTGTGTTAAAGAATGCAAGAGTTGCTGTTAGTGTTGGTACTAGCTAGCGGTGTTCACCACATCGGAATTAAAACAGAGAAAAATTAAATACGGATGCATTTCAAGGGGGCAGTCAGCTCCTCACCTGTTAACATAAATAGTGTTTCTGTGTAACCATGCAATATATACAGTTATGCACATACAGCCATATGTGGATAAGTATAATTGTTTTCTAAAATAAAACAATTACTGGGAAGAGTAACACTGTTTTATACTTTTGCAAATCTCTTTAATGTCTGGCTTCTGACATCTGCGTCTTGATTCCAGCCCTTGTGAAATCATATAGCACGTAGCCCTCTGGAAACTCCCCGTGTGTGTGAAAGGGAAATCATGTCTCACTGTTATCAGCAAAATAGCTTTGACCTTGAGAACTGCCTCAGAGGGTCTTAGACTGTGCCCGAGTAACTGTCTCAATCTAGTAAGCAATTGGGCAATGACCTGCAAGTTTCTAACTCGCTTTCCAGCATGGAACCAACCTGCTCTTCAGTGGACACAGTTTTATTTGGGGATTTTTGGAAGGAGATGTAGTTTGTGACACTATGAGATGTGTGCGTAGGCAGCTTGTGTCCGCTCTCGGTCTTGCAGCTTTTCCTTTATCTGTAGGATCCCTCTCAAGAAACTTACGGGTCATTCAGCCCTCAGACTTCAGTTCTGTGTCCTTGCCAGGGAAGGCAGCAGGTGGAAGACGGAGGGCAGGGCGGCGTTTTAACTTTGTGCTTCTCTCGCTCAGCATTTCCATAGGAAGTGACAAAATCAACTTCCAGAAAATGACTTGCAATTGTAATCCCATGCGCCGGGTCAGCACTCCCTCGTCTGTGACCGATCCAGACAGTTCTGTCTTCACCACCCAGTGGATCTGGTACTGGAGAAGCGAATCGGACAGGTGGATCCCGTATGGAGAAGAGGTGCGCTCCCCCCTCACTGTGAGTGGGTCTCCCCTAAACTCAGCGGTGTAGAAGAAGAGCAAGCCATTTGTACAATGACTGACGCGTGCATGTTCACCTCTGGAGAAGGGATGTGCTAGAGGAATTAGCGCAGGTGAGAGGGAGAGAGAGAGATTGTCCACCCACTGGTTCACTCCCCAAATGGCTGCAAAGCCAGGAGCCAGGAGCTTCCTGCAGGTCTCCCGCGTGGGTGCAGGGCCCCAGCACTTGGCCCATCCTCCGCTGCTTTCCCAGGCAGCATCAGCAGGGAGCTGGATCGGAGGTGGAGCTGGGGCTCAGGGGCCCGTGTGGGATGCCATTGTTGTAGGCTCAACTTTCCACCCCACAGCCCCAGCCTTGCCCTCCTTCTCACTAAGAATGGGTCAGGAGTGGGCACTTGGCACAGCGTTTAGGATACCACGTCCCACATCAGAGGGCGGAGCCCCAGCTCTGCTGCTGACCCCTGCTTCCTGCTGATGTGCACCCTGCGAGAAAGCAGTGTTGGCTCAAGTACTTGGGCCCCTGTCACCCACTCGTGGGAGACCCAGAGTGAGCTGCCAACTCCTGGCTAGCCTGACCCAGCCTTAGCTGTTTCAGGGGAGCGAACCAGTGGACAGGAGATGCCTCTTTCTCTCCCTCCCTCCATTTTAAACAACTAAAATAATAGTTTTAAGAAATGAATGAGCCTTGAACGTTGGCTAGTGTTGTGTGAGTTTCTACGTAGAGGTAAGAGGCGAGTGCTTGGAGCCAGAAGAGAGGGCGAGGGTGAGAAGCCAGAGGACGGACACAGATGGTGAGACTGCTCAGGGCACCAGGACACTGAATTGGCCGAAGCAGCAGAGCCACTTCCGGTGCAGATGGCCATAGGATGCAGTGGGGGTTTGGGTTCCGACGGCCTTTAGGACTGGAGCTAGGTGAGGCTGGCCCGCAGAGGGGCTGGGGGGATGGGGACAGTGGCCCCTTCTTCCTTCCTTCATTCAGGGTGGGCCGGGGGAGGGAAAGAGACAGGAACTGAAGCCAAAGGCTGAGTTGTGGGCGGGAGGGCTGCTGGGGGTCCCGGGCAGCCTGTGGGCCCTCGGGGGTGATAGGAGGTCTCAATGCCAGAGTCACTGCTGCAGCCGCACATGGTCTCCTGACTCTTCCGCGGAGTGTGGCCGAGCCGCCAGGACGAAGGGGCACAGGGCGCGGGTGTCTGCAGGCCTGAGGCCACCCCCAACTCCGCCGCTGCCGCCGTGGGGGCTGTGCCTATTTTCTATGGTTTCCATGGTTTCTATGTCAAATGCACAGCGGGCACTAAGATAGGGGTTGGAGGACATTCCCATTACAGTGAGATTAGGGCCCTAGGGGGGGCAAAAAACTCCCAGTGGGGACCGGACACTCAGATTCAGACTTGGGCAAGTTCTGCCGCTCGTGTTCCCTAGTAAAACAGCAACAGATCTCAGTGGGTCTCTAACACAAAGCTGCTGCCTGGCACGTTCAGTCTGCAGTAAATGCAAGGTGCTGGGGCCGGTGCTGGGGCTTGGTGGGTGGGGCCCCCACCTGCGGTGCCGGCATCCCACATGGGCACTGGTTTGGGTCCCGGCTGCTCCACTTCTGATCCAGCTCTGTGCTGTGGCCTGGGAAAGCAGAAGGTTGCCCAAACCCTTGGGCCCCTGCGCCCGCGTGGGAGACCTGGAAGAAGCTCCTGGCTCCTGGGTTCGGATTGGCCCAGCTCCGGCCATTTCAACCATCTGGGGAGTGAACTAACGGATGGAAGACCTCTCTTTCTCTCTCTGCCTCTGCCACTCTGTAACTCTGCCTTTCAAATAAATACATAAATCTTTAAAAAGAATTGCAAGGTATTTAGAATTTGGCTATCTGTAAACACGATGCTATATTCATTTAATCTGTGACACAGTTTGTTCTGTACCTTGTTCTGTGTCTCGATGATGTAAGCCCGTTCCGAGTAGGCTTTTGTGTCGTTGAAAAGAAAAAGTTCAGGACCTGGGTTCAGTGTTCCCGTGGGCTGTCCAAGGCGAATGAAGGTGGTTCCAGGAGATCTGAACCTGACACTGTGAGTGCCTGCTTTCTCTCAGGGGGCCAGGCACTGCCGCCCAAGTGTGTGGCTCCTGCCGCCTGCCTTGAGCTCGTGCAGGTCGGGATATGTACAGAAGAGAGTGGACACAAGGGCCTAGACAGGGGTGGGAGCCTTTCGTCTGCCAAGGGCCGTTTGGATACTTGTGGCGTCCTTCGCGGGCCGTACAGAATGATCAGCCAGAAACCAGCCTGCTGTGGATTGATTGAATTTGCTGTGGTTGCCTTGGTGGGGCCAACCACATGATGTCACAGGCCTCACTGGCCACGGGCCAGGTGTCCCCACCCCTGCCGCTTCTGTCTGCTGTGGCTGACATTTCAGTAAGAGTTGGGCAGCTGAGAGTTAGGGTCTTCTTCAGAAGGAACTTTGGCCAACAGAGTGTGTGCACACGGTTTGACGTCGCTTCCTGGGAGACGGGTATCCTTCTGTGGACACTGCCGTGCTGTGTGAATGAGGGCTTGTAGCAGCATGGCTGGTGGGCAGCGGGTGGGGCGTGGGCAGGCGGGAGCAGTGGTGGAGGACAGAGTGTGCGCGGGGCCAGCGGTTGCTGGCCTTGCACAGACAGGTCGCTGGCGATGTTGGTTCCCACGCAGCTAAGCGTTGTAGCCGTGACTCTGGCGTGAAGCATGGTGGGAGTTCATGGCCTGAGGAACTGTGTAGAGTAAGGCAAGCCACGGCTCTGGAAAGCCACGGTCAAGGCGATACTGAGGAGCAGGACAAAAGCCGAGACCTGGTTACTGCAGCCAAGACACAAATCCAAGTCAAGGAGAGCAAATAACTCAAGGCTCTGCCGGCCCATTGTCCCCACTCTTCAAGGCTCTGCCGGCCCGTTGTCCCCACTCTTCAAGGCTCTGTCATCCCGTTGTCCCCTCTTCAAAGCTCTGTCATCCCATTGTCCCCACTCTTCAAGGCTCTGCCGGCCCGTTGTCCCCTCTTCAAAGCTCTGTCATCCCATTGTCCCCACTCTTCAAGGCTCTGTCATCCCGTTGTCCCCTCTTCAAAGCTCTGTCATCCCATTGTCCCCACTCTTCAAGGCTCTGCCGGCCCATTGTCCCCTCTTCAAAGCTCTGTCATCCCATTGTCCCCACTCTTCAAGGCTCTGCCGGCCCGTTGTCCCCACTCTTCAAGGCTCTGTCATCCTGTTGTCCCCTCTTCAAAGCTCTGTCATCCCATTGTCCCCACTCTTCAAGGCTCTGCCGGCCCATTGTCCCCACTCTTCAAGGCTCTGCCAGCCCATTGTTCCCATTGCAGAACTGAGGTGCTGTGGTTTACCGTAAGGCTGGCCGCTCCTGATGAAACAGGCTGTCCCCACCGTCACTTTAGGTGGCACTGGCTGGGGATTTCCAAGGTACAGCAGGAACAGCTGCGGGTGTCCTTGTGCAGGGCAGGCATCCGGTCTGGCGGTCCGGACACGTTAGGACACCCACACCCCATCAGGAATGATGGGAGTGTCGGCTCCCCTGCCCATGCTGACTTGCACTGCACGGCCTGAGGGCCGGCTCAGCCGGGCGTGGGTGGGTGAGTCGCGACCACTGGTGCGGGAGACCTGGATTGGGGTGCTTCCTCCTGTCTTTGGCCTGGCACATACCTGGCTGCTGTGGGCACTTGGCAGTGAGCCAGTGGGTGAGAGCTCTGTCGTCTGTTTCCTTCAGTCTTTTTCTCTTGAATAGATAAATCAATAAATAAAAATTTCAAAAACATAAAAATATACTCCTATGCAAGAAACATCTGATAACTGACCCAGAGGTCACGTAGACGTAAGAGAGGAACGCTTCCGGACTTGGACAGTTGTCTCTGGACAGAGCCTCGCGGTCAGTTGGCTGCGTGACCTCCTGCCGGCTGCGGGCCATGGCAGCGGCGTGCACCGATGTTGTGAGTGCTGTAGTGCCCTTGACGGAGCCGCTCGGGCTCATCTTTGATGTGGGCTGAGCCTACGGGGACGTGTCCCTTGGAGATGGCGCCACCTGTACAGTGTTCAGCAAGACCCGAGGAGGCAAGGGCGGAACCAAGACGCCCAGACGCTGGCCTGGCGGCCCTGTGCTGTGCAGCAGGACAGTCGCCCGCCAGGAGGCTCTTTAATTTAGAACATTACTTACACTTTATTAAGTGTTCGGTTTCATGGCTGAAGAACGGCCACATGTGGCCACAGGTGGGAGAGAAAATGCGCCAGTCTGGCACGTGACCATTTTGAGTTGAAGGTGGTTGGAAAACAGCAGGTGCAAGGCGGTCACTGTGGTCGTGTGCTCCTTGAAAGCCAGTGGACTGCCACGGGACACGTCCTCCCTGTAACGGAAGGGAAGCGATGTTCTGTTCTTCCAGGACAGCGCCGGGCTGAGGGGTATCTGTACAGACCTAGCTGGACTCAGCCTTGTCCCAGCCGTTTCTCCACCCATGTCCCCACCGCAGAGCAGCCCCTCTGCCGTGACATTTTCACAGTTGCCTAATTCAGTAAGTAAGGGTTCGGTTCCAATAGCATCTTTGGGTCTTTGCTGTCTTGTGAAGGCGCCCGTGCCGTGTAAGCCGTGTAAGCTTGTATTGAATAACTGTGTTCGGTTTGTTTTCCTCGGTGTAATTCTCCAACCCAGCTGAAAAATCCTAAAAGGGTACAGGCAAACTTTTTTTTAAGGATTTTATTTATTTACTTCAGAGGCAGAGTCACAGACAGAGAAAGGGAGAGATGGAGAGAAACATCTTCCATCTTCCACTACCCAATAGCTGCGACGGCCGGAGCTGGGTCATTCCGAGGCCAGGAGCCAGGAGCCTCTTCCGGGCCTCCCATGTGGGTGCAGGGGCCCAAACACTTGGGCCATCTGCTGCTGCTTTCCCAGGCCATAGCTGAGAGCTGGATCGGAAGTGGCCCAGCGCCCATGTGGGATGCCGGCACTGCAGGCGGTGGCTTCACCCGCTCCGCCACAGCGCCAGCCCCACGCTGCCATATAGGGGTGTACAGAGAATGTTCCCACCACTGCAGAACGTTCTAGTAAACAGTGGTCAGTCGTCCCTAGGCCAGCAGCACCTGGGAGCTGTGTGAAAGGCAGAGGCCAGGCCCCTCTCCCGTTTGTTCTGAGTCGACATCTGCGCTCGCACAGCACCGCCGAGATGCTCAGGAGAAGGGCTCTGGGCTGTTAAGCCAGGAGCGGCAGGCAGCCGGCGAGTACCGCCCGTCAGCCGCAGGGACGGGGGCGCCGTGCCGCCCTGGCCCATAGGCGCTGCCTCCCGGAGCTGCTGTCTGGGCCCGGGGAAGCACGTGGTTCATCCTCCTGATGGGTGCTGTGTCTGAAGTGGTGGCCATGGGTGTCTTCACGGGATGACGGGATGGTTGGGTGCTGTGGGTTGAGAAGGCTCTTCCACCCCTTGTCAAACGTGGCAGGCCGGGTCCCAGTCACGCTGGGGGTATTTGCTCCAGCCAAGCCCCTCTGCAGGCTAAGCAGACCCCCCCCCCAGCCCTCTGCCCCTCTGTGGGCTAAGCAGACCCCCCCAGGCCTCTGCGGGTTAAGCTCACCCCCCCCCCAGCCCTTCTGCCCCTCTGTGGGCTAAGCCGACCCCCCTAGCCCTCTGCCCCTCTGCAGGCTAAGCTGACCCCCCATCCCCTCTGCCCCTCTGTGGGCTAAGCCGACCCCCCAGCCCTTCTGCCCCTCTGCAGGCTAAGCCGACCCCCCTAGCCCTCTGCCCCTCCGTGGGCTAAGCCAACCCCCCTAGCCCTCTGCCCCTCTGTGGGCTAAGCCGACCCCCCTAGCCCTCTGCCCCTCTGCAGGCTAAGCAGACCCCCCTAGCCCTCTGCCCCTCTGCGGGCTAAGCAGACCCAAGTATCTGTGAGATTTCCTGAAAGCCTACACTGGGGTCCTTACTGTTGTTATTATTATTTTTTTTTTAATTAGAACCACAACCAGCCAAGCTCGAATATCGACTCTTCGTACCTGGAGTCTTTGTTTCAGTCCTGTCGGAGGGGGATTGTGCAGTTTCAGGCGGGTTCTCGAAACTATGAGCTCAGTTTCCCAGGTAAGTGTCGGTGCTTGGTGTGCCCGCGGGAGGGGAGCAGACTGCACGTGCCCAGGGAGTGGTGCCCAGTGGCCGTTCCGGAGCTCTGGCTCAGACAGACGCTCGCTGTGCAACGCCAGGAAGGGCAGGCGGCCTCTCTGGCCCAGGTCCCTCAGCTGGAACATCAAGGAATTGGATTAAGTAGACCCGGCGGCGGTGTGTGTATGTGTGTGTGTGTGTGTGTGTGTGTGCTTCCGGCTCTGCCGTGCCGAGTTCTGGCTCTGGGTGGGCAGTGTCCCAGGCTACAGCTGAATTTTACAAGGCCATGGCCTGGGGCCTTTGGGCACCTGCAGAGTTCGGGAATCTGGAGGTTCCTTTTAGGCTTGGTCTTAGGCCAACGGCTCCGTCCGTCACATTGACTAAAGCACTTTGCATTCCTCCGTGGCTGTTTGCACCTCGATGGACAGGTCTTCCAGCTGGCTCCCACCGGGCCGGCTGCTGTGTTCTGCGTCGACGAGGCTCGCAAATGCCCTGTTGGTCGCATGTCCCTGGACGCTGCCAGCACGCAGCAGACCCTTGTCGTTTGGGGCCCAGCGCCACAGGGGCCTGGGGAGAAGTGTGCGAGTCCCCAGGTGGCGCCTGGACCTCTTGCCGTGGGCCTAGTAACAGGGCTTCCAGGGCCGTTAGACCAAGCGTTCTGGAAGGAGCTTGTCCAGGTCGAGATGCTAGAATACGCTTACCCTCTCGTGCCCCCAGTCTCTCCCAGGACGCTGTTTCCCAGAACAGAAAGTGGCAGGCACGGAGGTCTTTAGCGAAGCCTCCTGTGCTCCCACACAAGGGGATTCCCTGTGTGCAGGAAGGCAGCGGCTGAAGAAATCGGGATATGAAGTTCCAGTGGCACATGGCATAGTCACTAAAACTTGTGGCCCCCAAACCTGCGCAGTTTGAAGTCGTTAAATGAAAAAGGCAGAATCCCGGGTTTGCACCTAGGACTTTTCTGTTTGTGCATTTAAATGCAAAAGGCTTTTAAAAATGTAATGTGTGTGATACTTGCAGCAACGAGCGTGTGGACCAAGACTGGGAGGAGTGGAGAAAGAGGAAATCTGTATCATTGGGTGATAGAATTAAAGATGACTTAAATTTAAAAATGTTTTCTTTGGTGATTGAACAGGGTGGTGGAGAGACGACAGCTGCTGTTCCCAGAATCCCGCTCAGAGCAGGTCACAGGGTTCCTGTCTTCTCTATTTTTATTAAAAATACTTGAGACAGGGGCTGGCACTCTGGCGCAGTAGGTTAATCCTCCGCCTGCGGTGCCGGCATCCCATATGGGTGCCGGTTCTAGTCCCGGCGGCTCCTCTTCCAATCCAGCTCTCTGCTATGGCCTGGGACAGCAGTAGAAGATGGTCCAAGTCTTTGGGCCCTGTACCCGTGTGGGAGACTGGGAGGAAGCACCTGGCTCCTGGCTTCGGATCGACCCAGCTCTGGCCGTTGCGGCCATCTGGGGAGTGAACCAGCGGATGGAAGACCTTTCTCTGTCTCTCCCTCTCACTGTCTGTAACTCTACCTCTCAAATAAAAATCTTTAAAAAAATACTTTATACAAAAGGCAGACACGTGTGCATAAGTACACACATACACTCACACACGCCCTCAGACACACACACTCACATAGACACACACATGCACAGAGCCTCTGTCTGCTAGGTCACCTTCTCAAATGCTCAAAACGGCCAGTGCTGGGCCAGGGCTGCAGCTAGAGGCCACAACTTCTTAAAAAAAGTTTTTTAGGAGCCCGTGCTGTGGCGCAGCAGGTAAAGCCGCCGCCTGCAGTGCCGGCATCCTATATGGGTGCTGGTTCGAGTCCCAGCTGCTCCACTTCGGATTCCGCTCCTTGCTGATGCACCTGGAAAAGCAGTAGAAGATGGCCCAAGTGCTTGGGCCCCTGCACTTGCATGGGAGACCCCCTGCAGGTCTCCCACATGGGCGCAGGGGCCCAAGCACTTGGGCCATCTCTTCCGCTGCGTTCCCAGCCATTAGCAGAGAGTTGGATGAGAAGTGGAGCAGCCTCATGGGATGCTGGTGCCCCTGACAGCTGAACCCACTATGCCACAGTGCTGCCCCCTAGAGGCTCACGCGAGGGTGACAGGGACGCAGCTACCCCTGGGGGTCTACCCGGCAGGCCGCTGAAATTGGGAGCCAGAGTGGGAATCAAACCCAGGCACTCCGCTATGGGATGCAGGCGTCTGTTTTTGTTTTCTTTTCAAGATTAATTTATTTGACAGGGAGAGAGAATCTTCCATCTGCTGCTGGTTCACTCCCTGAATGGCTGCACTAGCTGGGTCTGGGCCAGGAGCCAGAAGCCCCACTCCAGCCTCCCACATGGTGGACAGTACTGAAGCACGCGGCTGTCTTTTGCCTGTTCCTAGGCGCGACAGCCGGGAGCTGGATCTGCAGCCGGCAGCCGGACTCAAACAACCTCTGCTAGGGGGAGGTGTCTGGAGGGGCGGCCTGACCCCTGTGCTGCCACAGTGACCCTCTACCTGCCAGGCCACGAGCTTGCCCTGTCTTTTCTTTTTCTCTTTTATTGATTTGAGAGGCAGAGAAAGAGGGACAGATAGAAGGAGAGGCAGAGACGAGAGAGGGCGCTCCCATCTGCTGGGCAAACCCCAAACATGCACAGAGACCTGCAGAGGCCAGGTTTGGGCCTGGTTGAAGCAGGAATCAATCAATCCCGTGTTGTCCCTGTGCTGTCTCCTAATAGTTCCAAAGTTTCAGGTTTCACATTCACGTCTTTAATCCATTTCTAGTTGATTTTTGTACTGGTGAGAGGTAGGGGTCTAGTTTCATTCTTGTGATATCCTTTGTCCCCAAAATGTTTATTAAAGAGACTGTCCTTTTTTCCAATGCGTGTTCTTAGCACCTTTGTCAAAGATGAGTTGGCTGCGGATGTGTGGGTTTACTTCTAGGGTAGATTCTGTTCCACAGGGGTCTGCTTTTATGTCAGTACCATGCTGTTTTAATTAGTGTGGCTCTGTAATATATTTTAAAGATTTTATTTATTTATTTGAAGGGCAGAGCTACAGAGAGGCAGAGAGAGAGAGGTCTTTCATCCCCGATTCACTCCTCAAATGGCCGCAACGGCTGGAGCTAAGCTGATCCGGAGCCAGGAGCTTCTTCCAGGTCTCCCATGTGAGTGCAGGGCCCAAGCACTTGGGCCATCCTCCACTGCCCTCCCAGGCCACAACAGAGAGCTGGACTGGAAGAGGAGCAGCCAGAACTTGAACTGGCGCCCACATGAGATGCTGGCACTGCAGGCGGCAGCTTTATCCGCTAAACCACAGCGCCGGCCCCTGTAATATGTTTTAAAGATTTATATATTGGAGAGACAGAGATAGAGATATATTCCATCTACTGGTTCGCTCCCCAAATAGCTACAGCAACCAGGTTTGGTCCAGGCCAAAGCCAGGAACTGGAAACTCCAGCTGGGTCTCCCAGATGGGATCAGGGGCTGAAGTGTTTGCGCCGTCTTCCGCTGCCTTCCCAGGGGGATTAGCAGGAAGCTGGATTAGCAGTGGAGCGACTGGGCCTCAAACCGGCGCGCTGACAGGCTGCCCGCACCACCCTGCTGTGTGGCTCACCCTGCTGTGTCACAGCGCTGGCGCAGGGTCCCTGGGTGAGATGGTGTCTGCACGCAGGCACAGTGGGACTGCTCTCCGTTCACTCCCTCTCCCCTTCCTCCTGCCCGATGGCTTTCGCGAGGACTCCAGTGCTGTGCGGAGCCAGCGTGGTGAACGCGGGCCCAGATCCCGTGGTGTGTGTCTGGGACTGTGTAGCCCTCCTATCTGAGGGGTGTGGCGTGGAGGCTGGACACAGTATTCTTGGATTTTGTCCTTTCTTCCGTGTGGTTCGGTGAAAACCCCTTCTCTCCTGAGAGTTCTCCGAGGATCGCCGTCAGGCACGCGGGGCCCCTTGCTTTGTCCGTTCACCGGGGCAGCTTGGCCCTCACCGGGCTTGGGTGATGGGTGACCTCCGACCTTTCTGCAGGCTTCCCTGGGCCGGGGGGTGTTGTATCCTGAGCTCGTGCGCTTTCCTGGCCTTTCCGGGGCTCCCTGGGCTCCGTGACTTGACTGCCTGCCCCGGACCTGCCGCAGGCTGCTCTCCGCGCTCTGCCTTCCCTCTGCTGTCAGCTGCCCTGAGCTTGAGCCCGGCCCTTCCCGTCTGACCGCTGCTCTCAGCGCCCTGCGTGCCGGCAGCCTCTCCCGTGTGCTTTTCAGTTGCAGCATTTCTGCTTGCGCTTGTTCAATCATTTCCTTCTCTCCATCAACCCTCGCTAGAAGGTTGCGCCGTCTCTGTCCTCTTGAGTTTTGTTGGATTTCCTCAGAACAGCTGTTCTGAAACATCCGTCCAGGCGTCTGGAAATTTCAGCTCTGGATGTGGGTTTCTGGTGCCTTGTTTTGCTCTTCAGGCTCCCTGGGAGTGCCTGGTGCTCGGTGCTGGTGCTCCCTGGGAGTGCTCGGTGCTGGTGCTCCCTGGGAGTGCCTGGTGCTCGGTGCTGGTGCTCCCTGGGAGTGCCTGGTGCCTGGTACTTGGTGCTGGTGCTCGGTGCTGGTGCTCCCTGGGAGTGCCTGGTGCCTGGTGCTCGGTGCTGGTGCTCCCTGGGAGTGCCCGGTGCTCGGTGGTACACAACACCGTGTGCACACTGAAGTACTGGTGACAGCAGGCTGGCTTCACTTGGGGCCATCCTTCTAGAAGTTCCAGGCGGTTTGTTTACTGTCTCTGGGCCTGTGGGTATTTATGCCGCTGCTGCCCTAGGTAGTACGCCAAGTCGTAGTTGGCCAGGTCTGCTGTTGGTAGGTTTTAGTGATGCGGTCTTGTAACACGCCGCAACCTGGATTTTCCCAGAACTGCCGTGTGGAGGTCCGTCCCTCCCAGCCGCTCCCTGGGCCGGCAGTCCGTCCCTCCCAGCTCTCCCTGGGCCTGTGGTAGTCTCGATTCCTTGTCTCGTGTCTTTGACTGCCACAATGCAAGACCACCTCCGGAGCCCTCAGCCCAGCAAGACCAGCGCCCCTGCTGAGGTGGGCTCGCTGCCCAGCACTGCCCGTCAGCCACTGCTGATGCTGGCTGGGGTGCCGGAGCGCTCGGCGGGGACCACGGAGCTCTGTGGGGTGCTGAAGGGGGCAGTGGCTCCGTCTGCAGGTGCTGGCCTGGGGGCAGGATTGCTGGGAGCTGGTCTCTGCTGGGTTTGATCAGCCTGGCACCGAGTCCCAAAGCAGCCGTGGGACTCCACGCTGCCTACTCCAGCTTGTAGGGGAGATGGTAGAGGTAGTCCCGCGGCTACTACTCCGGCAGGCTGTAGGTGGGTCACACAGTTGCCAGGCCCAGTGTAAGCTTGGGGTGCACCTCAGGCCTGCAAGAGGCCAGTGGTGCTACATGCCAAAGCAGGTCTGTCTCGGGCGCAGGCCTCTGCCCAATCCCGGGCAGGTCCAGGGCCTCTTGCCTTGGGACAAAGCCATCAGGATCCCGCAGTCACAGGTCCCTGCAGGGTCCCATGGCAAAATGAACCTGGCTCCCCAGAGTGCATGGTGCGCCCGATGCATCTTGTGCCGGCGACTTGACATGTGTCGAGCTGTCCACACGCGTGTCCTGGGAGCCGGGG